TTGGGATAATTCACTGCTAGGCTTTTTCCATCAGGAAATCTTCATTTGTCTTTACCACGGAACTTAATGGTCAGAACTTCTGGTTTGTGAGAAACTGCTAAATTAGTAATTTATTATCCATCACTGTTGATACTAATTTGAAAAAAATAGGGCTGAGCATAATTAAAATACACTTATATGTGTACCCAAATTGTTATTAGCAGAAATGGGAGGCTACTCAGGATAGCTACTTATGCATCTACTTGATGATCATTCTTCAGGTTGTGGAGTCATGCAGGCAAATTAATGGAGACCCAGGATCTGGTGAGTCAGCTAGGGGGCTAAGGCTTGGTGTCCTGGTGGAGAATGAGGAGCCAGGCCTATTGCTGAGCCTACAAGGGCCCGGTTGATACAGTCATTCTGAAAGATAAGGTCCTCGTATTTAGATGTTAAAAAGTGAGACTCAGTTTAAATAACCAAATCCATTCCTTGATGTACCTCTTAGAAACAGAATACTGAATCTGATATACCATGCGTTTGAAACAATGCTATTTAAATAGGCAGTATATTTATTTACATAGCATTCTCTGGAGCAGGAGGTTAGAGGGAGGGAAAGACATAAAAGTAGAGAGTCGAGAGACAGTGGACTCAAGGCCATGGATTTAAGAAGTGCCAAAAATGAAAGAGTCCTTATGATGCCAACTACTTTATTCAAGGGCCACTTTTCTCAATGAATATGTTCAAGTTCCTTCCATGGCTCTTCTGCCCACCTGTAACAGACTTCAACATACACAGGAGCACACAGAAGGCAGAATTCAAACCAGCTGTTAGGTGTTCTGATGGAAGGTTTATCAGGAGAAATAACTGAAGCCACTAGATAACCTAAATTGAGACCCTTAGTGATTTTTTTTAACTTCTAAGAATTCTATAGTTCTTAAAATTCTTGTGCAGAAAATTGAGTTATGTTGCAGGGAGTCTCTTGATTCTGTGTAAGTCTACAAAAAGACAGGATGGGTGAGGAAGCATTGAACTCTTTCTGGCCACCTGATGCCATTTAGTATATGACTGTTTCAGGGATTCTGTGCCTGGAATTGTAACCCTGCTGCATGTGCAGTCAGGTCCCCAAATGCTTAGCGCTGGGTCATCTTGGGGGAAACATACTTACCTGCATCTAGCTGACTGCATATTGTAACATAGCTCCTAGCAAGTGATATAAGTACAAGTCTGTTTTGAATCCAGCTACTTAACATAGGAATGCTCATAATGATACTGTCAATAGGAAGGCTTTCATTGGTAGTTGTACACACTAAACCTTTGTTTAAAAAAACAAGCCAGGTAGAGTAACATTTGTGTTTGGGTGGGTTGTAAGAGGGATAGAGACCTACAGTTGTTAGTGGTAATTACAGATCAACTTGGAAAGAGGAGATCCACACCTTCAGCTAGACCGTTCCCAGTACGGGTCAGACCTAGTCCTTCTCCCACTCGCTGTTGCTAAATGCCTGCTGAGCTGCCACACTCTTCGAATGGACAGTGCGGAGTCGTCTCACTCACCTCTGAGAAAAAGTGTAAGATTACCAGAATTTACATTATACCTGAGTATGATGTCTTATGTAGTTGTGCCCAAATCATCATATGAAGCATTTGGTAAAAGAACTGACGAGAGCTCATTAACAAATTTTTCTTGTGACCTTTTTGCTTTGTTTGTTTCTTACATACTGGAGGTATGATAATAGAACAGAAATGAGATTCAGAACCTGAGAGGATACTGTGTGTGCATGTTTTCTTTTGATCTAATTTAGAACTTAAAAACAGATACTTTTCAAACCTAGCAATAATGTGTGTCTGTGCAGGTGTATTTTAAAATATACTTTTAAAGGGAAACTTTCTGAAAATGGAAAATGGCAGTATCACACATTCAAAAACGTGGGCCATGGCTAGCCCAAAAAGTGGGAATGATGCCCACTCTTGTTGATTCCCATTTCCTTCCTATCTTGTCTAAAAACTTTGTTCTTGAGTATTAGAATACCAGATGCGTAAATCCCCCCACACCCAGATTCAAAGTTTAAGAGCATCTGGAAAGAAATACTGGAATACTCATATCTAAAATCAACCACACAGTTTTGTGCATGATTTTGTGCTATCACTTCAACTGTCTGTGGCAGGTATGATAAATTGGCTCAATAGACACCAATTCCAAACTCCTGCCTTCTCTTTCTTACTGTAGAAGTGAGAGAACAAAAATCTTTGCAGCCAGGGCCGTGCATGATATAGAAGTCTGGCCAGAGAGATGTAAGCACGGATCTCTGGAGAGGGCTTTTCTTCCCTTCTTTTTACCTCCCTCCTCTTACTTCCTTAGAGCTTGGGCATGATAACCGGAGGTGCACTAGCTATCTTGAAATTGTGAGAATAAAAGCCAAATGCTAAGGGTAGCTGCAAAGGAATTGAGAGAAAAGGGCCTAGTCATTTGATAAAATCCTTGGCACCTACATCAGCTCCGAGTTTCCAGCAACCAGACTACTTATGATATGAGAAAAATAAACCCCTTACCTGTTCAAGCTACTGTTTGTCCCTTGAACTGTTAATTGTATCTTACTGTAATTGAACACAATCTTAAGCAATAGCCATTTGCAGTTTTTGTGGCATAGCAGACTGCAGTGTTGGTTAGTTTCTAAGAGATGTATAATAAATATTCCACTTTTCCACGTTACAGTATTTCATTTACCTTAAATTTCTCTCTATTCCAGCCTGTTTTAGATAAAAGTAAACTTTGGAATGTAACTTAGAATTAATGGTGTCACTCTAACATGATTTTAGTAAGTTTTGTGTATCATGTACTTTGCCGAATGCTTAAGTATATTGATGAATGGGATGAAATACTCGCCTTTAGAGGTCTTATGGACTACTTGGAAAGGCCACATGTAAAAAACACATGGTCGGTAAGTGCGTTAAGTGCTTTGCTAGAAGTCCATGGGGCTATGAGAACACAGGCAAAGGGGATAAATCAGTTAGCTTTCACTGTATAACCAACTACCCCAAACTCAATGGCTTAACACAACCATTTATTTACTTCATGATCCTTCAGGTCACCCAGTTGGGCATTTCTGGATTTGACTGCCTTCACTTATACTTCACTTATACTAAGGTTTGGCTGGTCTATGATGGCTTCAGCTGGGGTGACTTAGAGTCTCTCCCTCTTCAGCCTGGACTTATATATATGTGGCACTAGGCCAGGGTTCCAAGAGAGAGGCTTATGTTTACAACTGGCGCATTGTCATTCCTGTCACATTCTGTTGGACAGAGCAACTCACAGGCCCCGCCCAGATTGAAGAGGGGAGAAACAGACTCCACCCTTTCGTGATGAGAAAAATTACAATGCTTAAAATAATTGGAAGTATTAGTCAAGATGTTTAGCTTTGCCAGCATTTTGAAAATTCAGTATCATAACACCCCCTTGACATTATCATAGCAGAATGGGGAGTTTCTCATCAGTGTTAGTGGTAGGTCAGTCACTGCCTTTTTACTGCCCTCTTTGTTAGAAGGGTTCTCTCTCTCTCTCTCTCTCTTTCTCTCTCTCTCTCTCTCTCTCTCTCACACACACACACACACACACACACACACACACAGCTTACACCAAACATTGCAAAAGAGCATGTAGTGACCAGTGTGTATTTTAAAGGAAAGAAAAATCTTATAAAATAAAACTGAAAGGAAGGTGTGACACGATGTAAGGTTATAATATCTGAGAAGACAAATGGCCTTTTGGTAGTTTGCGACCTACAGATGAATTAAAACCTTTCCACACATAGACTGATAAAGTTGGTCACTTGCATTGTAATTTTAAAAAATGCAGAAGCAGTACACTTAGAATATTGTCTTCATGTCAGAAATGCACCTTCGTGCTTGAAAATGATAAAAAATTACAATCGATCCTTACAACTGTTCTGTTCATCTTTATTGATCAGGTGCAAGAAAGATAAATCGCAGCCCAAATAAGATTATAGTAAATGTTAGCATCGTAGGGGACTCTAGGTTGATAGAGGGCCATTCATCATCTCAAATGGTGACCTGTCCATTGCACCAGCCACCCTGAGTCTGCTGTCTAATCACATATGTATTGATTTTATCTATATCCAAGAAACCTGGATGTGACTGTCATTGGGCAACCCAGATTGTTAAATGCAGAGGGGTCACTGGTGTGAAGAGGATTTCATTTTCATTTTCTCACCAACCAACAATGATTTATTAAAAAATAAACTACTCCAAGTCGTGCATGTGCAACCTGAATGATTAGGGATTGAAGGTGCACAATAGACCACTATATTGTGTAGTATTCTTTTGTACTGGGACACATTTTGCAGGATATTTCATTGAGTCTGAAGGCTCATGGGGTCATTTAGACCACCCCCTGCAGTAAGACAGTTTTCAAAGTAGCCAGCCAGAGTAGATAGTTTAAAATTTTCCTGCCTCAGGAAAGGCATTCCTTTCCTATTGCAGCTTGATATATGTTGCTTATGTGTTCATTTACGTAATACTGGAAACAAATTTTTTTTTTTGGTACAGATATTACCTAAATCCATACTCTGTTCTTACTGATTAATTTGTTATAAATATTGATCTTCTTGTGGTCATGTGAGGGTGATAGAACACAGTCTACTCTGTAAAGAATCCATCTTGAGGACCAAAGTACTGTATAAAAAGAAATGAACCTTTAATATCCTAGGTAGAACATTGGAATAATAGGCTAAGAATGTGAAGAATTTTCTCACAAGGATCAAATAATGAATTATAACAATGAAGGTTTACTCTAATTACAACTTGTATACCAGCAGATATACTATTATTTAAATGGATACCTTTACTTGGACTTTTTTAAGTATTTATGTCACTTATGCAAGAAATCTTTGTCCTACTGTTTGAATGACTGAAAAAAGCTTTAATGTGGTTTTTGTTGTAATTAAAAGTCTTGTGCACATTTTGTTCTCTTGAATAGTGAAAAGTGTACTATCAATCTTTTTCCACAGAGCTCAGAATTCTACAAAGTCACCACTGAACAATATCAGAAAGCAGCTGAAGCGGTAGAAGCAAAATTCAAGTAAGTTTTTAACATATAACACTGTAATTATTTACTGTTCATGACAAGATCAAAGTACAACTTTCTTGCTTTTTGAAGAGTGGATAGTTTGTTGTGGGCCCTCTGGAATACTTGGAGTATATATATTTGGGTGGTGGAGATGTATCCATGTTCTCCATTAGTGGGATGGAGTGGAATTCAAATACAAGGAAAGGGCATTTGATGAGAGCCTGTTGCAACTCAATTTTATGAAGTAAGAGGAAGTTGAAAGGAATGCTAATAGAATTTTCATTTGGAATAACATTATATAAGATGGGATGCCCTTGATTATAAAGGTGACGTGAAATGGCTACCTCTGTTAATAATAGAATCATAGAGACTATTCAGTTTTATATAATAAAATGACAGGCATGTCCAAATTTGAGTAACCACTTTTCTCATGTTTAAGCTGTTTTCATTTCTTCCCATGTACCTTGAAAGCATTTAAATCACAGACTTTACCTTGCCCTTGATTATTAAGGTGGTGTTAAATTGCTGCCTCTATTAATCCTTGGAATGTTTAAATGAATGTTCTAATTGATGGATCAAAGTGTCCGTGACCCATAGCCCTGTACTTTCCCTTTGCTGCCAGTTCTCACATTAGGTAAGAAGACATCATTCAGAATTTTCCTGAGAGTATAAATAGTTGTATTGTATAACCTCTGTTAGTAGCACATGTGTAAATTAGTGAAGCAAAAAAAGGTATTGTGACAGGTTTAGTTGACAGATCGAATTGAGCTCTGACCTTCTTCCTGGTGCATGGTTATAAGCTTTTGATAAAATGATTAAACCCTAAGGTGTAACATTATTACTTTCTGCTGTGGTATAATTTGTGTGGTAATGGATAATAGTGTTCTTTAATGTAATAAAAAAATCTTTTTTTAAGGTAGTTTGAAGTATATTTAGACAAACCTCTTTGTCTTTGTTAGTGAATTGTCTTTTTAGGCCAGCAGGGAGAGACCTTCAAAGAATGGGCCACAAATCTCACTTTTAAAGGTTAATGTGCTCTCTTAAGTATTTACATACAAAAATGCATCTGGAGTTGATTTTAAAAGGTACTCTAAATATGTATTTTTCATGTTATAGTTTTATCTTTCTTCCTAATGATAAAGTGACATTTGTTAATCTTTCTATCTTTATGCCATGCGAATCTTTGACTTAGCATCCTGAGTATTTCTCTATTGTAAGAGGATAGCTATTCATTCAGGTAAGTAAAATTTAAGATAAATCAAAGGAGATCAGTTCTGACTAGAATGATCTATGAAGTTATCATAAAGAAAACAATAATTCAGTTGAGGCTTGGAGAAAAATAGTGAATCGGTGGAAAGGAAAGTATTCAGAAGGAAAATCATGTTCTATAATTGGTGGGTGTCAAGTCCATTAAGATCAGTGGTTTGACTCAGAGAGACTCTTGTGCAAGGTGAAGTTGGAAAGGTCAGTAGGGTCCTTTGATAACTGCTGGGCTGAGAAGTTGGTCTTCAGGTAGCAAAAAGTCTTTGGAAGATCTTTGATCACCAGGTAAGCACTTGATTTCTTGCTCCTTCCGTAATACTAATCAGACAGTGGATGTGAGGCCTGATCAGAGGTGTGAGGAATAAAAAGCAGTAGTAGTATATGGGAGGACTGTGTGAGAAAAAGAGATGGGTGCAAGCAAGTCATTGAAAGTCTAGACATGAACTAGTGAGTGATTGGCATATTCATTCGCTAGGGTTGCCATAACAGAACCACAGACTGAGCGGTTCCACAGAAGTTGATTTCCTCACAGTCTGGAGGCTGCAAGTCTGAGATCAGAGTCCCCACATGGTTGGCCTGTCTTCCTCCTCCACATCCGTGTCTCAGTCTCCTTTTATAAATCACAGTGCATTAGGGCTCACCCTAATGACTTCATTTTAATATGATTACCACTTTGAAAACCGTTTGTCCAAATATGCTTTCTGCTGCTTGTCATTAGGTCTCCAACATATGAATTTGGTTGGGGAGGGGTCCCAGTCCAGCCCCTAACACCTGGAGGTAGGGACCAGGGAGAACCAGAAATAGAAGTTTAGCATATCGGAAAATTGATGGAGTCTGGATATTTATAGAGAGAGATGAATCTGGTTTTAGATGAAAAGAATCACTCTTCTGAAAGCCCTGTGCAGCTGCCATGTCATTCAGCCTGGGCTAGCCTGCTGACAAATGAGAGGCTATGGGGAACACAGAAATAAATGTCCTGCTGATTGACTTTCTCCAAGACAACATGAAACTGTAGGTTAAACTTAGTGGTTGTATTTTTTTTTTTAAGTTTATTTATTTATTTTGAGAGAGACAGAAAGAGTACGAGTAGGGGAGGGACAGAGAGAGAATCCCAAGCAGGTTCCACAGATGGTCAGCATGCAGAGCCTGACATGGGGCTTGATCCTACAAAACCATGAGATCATGACCTAGGCCAAATCAAGAGTTGTCACTCAACAAACTGAGCCACCCGGGTGCCCCTAGACTTAATTTTAATCAGAGCCTCAGCAGCTTCATTCTATTACCTTTGTAAGATATTATTCTTTATTAAATTCTACTCTCATTTGGTGTGGTACAGAATTTAACCTTTCCCAAGGAGAGGTCTGGCCTGTATGCTCATCTTCTGGGAGAGGGAACCTCTAACTCTTTGGAATTTCCCAATTGATAGAAGTGTGTCATTAGTCATGATGGGCCCTTTGGGCTGTGTACTGTCAAACCAACCTCTGGGGAAGTGGTGCTGCAGACTGAATTCAGCCACATGAGCAATCAGTCAAGCAAAACTATGCAATGAGGCCCCAGTGAAACTCTGGACATGGAACTTTGAGCCAGCTTCTCTGGTTGAATCTCTGCAGATTGTCACAGGTGAATGCCAGGGGAGTAGAGCATCTTAAGGAGAGTGGAAATTTTGCATTTAGAACTCTCCCAGACTCTATCCTCTCCATCCTATCTCTTTTTTTGGCTAACTCTCTATCATTTCCCATGTTAAGCCATAACCGTGATTTTAATAGCTCTCTATGAGTTCTGTGGATACTTTTAGTGAATTATTAAGGCTAGAGCAGTTTTGGGAACCCCTTGAACTTGTAGATGATGCTAGGGTGAGGACAGTCTTGGAGACTCTGCCCTTAGACTTTACAGTTTGGCCAACTCTGGTACAAACAAAACCCCAGGTTTTTACATACTATGAAGGTATTTTAAGAGCTAGTTTTTCAGAGAGTGGCTTTCATTATATTAGGTCCCCCCCCCCCCCCCCCCAGTACTACCTGCTACACGGAACTTCTTAGAAAGTTTGTATTTTGATTCGTGGTGAGTTTGGTAGCCTCATACCTAGGAAGTGATAGTGCCTTGAGTATGAGAGATGCTTACCATCTTTGAAGGCACTGAAGTTACTCAGTGGAACTTTGTTTCTCCTTACAGATCAGACCATCTCAGGTAATGCTGGCAGCTTCAGTCTTTTGCAAGGCAGTATGCTATATCCTTTTCATTGCATGACACTGTTGATTTCAGCATTGTTGATCTCAACAAGCTCTGACGAAATTTGAGGAGGATTTAGTTAATTTTATCTGATGGAAGAATTCATTTGGGTGCATCTTGGTTACAGGAGATGGAAGCTTTTTAAATTTCAAGGGCTTTATTACTTACCTGATAAGGGGTCACACAAAATCATTATATAGAGAAAGAAACCTAAGAGCATTTGAGGCGGCACGTGATAAACACCAGTCACATCGATGCATCCTGCCAGGATAGCTAATGGTATTATTTTAGGGATGCTTAAATATTAACTCACCCTTCAGTCCTCAGTTTATAGTTTTGGCAGAAACCCATTGAAACACTTTAGATTTAATGGGATTTTTCCTCCTATTTTATCATCTCATCATTCATTCAGAGCGCTTCTATGTGACCTGCCCTCCGAGTTCTGAGATCACAGCTATGAGGAGAGAGGTAGGGACTCCAGAGTGTGGAACTCAGAGTCCCCAGAGAGCAGGGGGAAGACAGGACTTTCCCATAAAGAACATTTGAAAAATCCAAGATTAGTTCTACTGTAATGGGATAATTGTGCCCCTAATAAGTTATTTAAAATACTGTTTACTGTTTCTTTCAGTAAGAATCAATTTGGAGATTAAGAATGTGTGTTTATTTTCCAGCAAGAAGGTTTCCCGACCACAACAGCGTTAAAATTTTAGCTATAAAACCCAAATCACTTAGCAAATCCAGCAGGTTTTTTTTATATCTAGCCTTTATTCAAAAGATAACCATTACTTTTCCCAGTCCAACTAAAAAGTCACTGTTAGCAGTTCCAATCACCTTTTATCACCCTTTGTTAATATCTGTTAAATAGAGCCTTGTATGGTGCTAGTTCCTAGCTACGTGGAGCTAGTATTGTGTCAAATAGCTCAGCATACCGAGAATTACGTTCCTTATATATTAATATATATATATAATTCCTTATTTTCCACCTGATAGGTCATTAAACAAAATAATACATCAAATAATGCTACATTGATGGTGCTGTGCATAGGTCTAGCACAAGGTAAACGCTCAGTGCATATTTGATTTTATCAGTTTTTATTGTTATATATATATTGTGATAATATAATTTTATTGTTATGTCCAGTTCAGCTGCTCACCACAGGAGAAATTTCTTTGTGTTTCCAGGCAAAATCGACATGATATTAAACAAAAAAGATAATAGAAGAGTTTTTATCTTCAGGAAGCCCCCGGCCCAACGGGAGACCACATGTGAAGCCCTGGGGACCGAGGACACAGTGAGGGATGTGGCAGAGCTGTAGGGAAAAAGTGCTGCAGGCGCCCTATTTCAGGATCCCTGTCAGAGGGTAGAGTAGAGCCTGCCTACCACGCCCACAAAACTGAAACACCCTTAACAGTGTATTTTGTACATAAGAGAGCACACAAGCAGGGGAGGGGCAGAGACACAGAGTGGGAGAGAATCCCAAGCAGGCTCCATGCTGTTGGTGCAAAGCCCAACACTGGGC